GGGAGGGAAGGAAGGAGGGAAGGAGAGAAGGAGGGGGAAGGGGAAGGAGGGAGGGAAGGAAGGAGGGAAGGAAGGGGAGTAGGAGAGAGGGGTTGGACTAGATGACCTCCAAGGTCCCGCCCTTGTGATTCCCTTCTTCCAAACAACTCACCTGGGCAGAGAAGTCGATCAGCTTGGGGAAGGGCTGTTTCTTGCCTTCCTCACTTTTTAAGAAATCCAGCAAGCTTCCTGCGGAGAGAGAGGAGACCCTTTTGAGGCAAGGAGGACATTTCTGGGACCCCCTCCCAAAACACCGTTCTCGTTTCGAGGAGTCGTTAACGGGAGCTGTTGGGTAAGCCCCCCCCCAAGGATGGGTCTCCAGCTTGGAAATAGCAGAAATGCCTGTTTCTTTTTCCTGCCTTTCACAAGGACAGTTTACACACACACACAACCACGCACACTCTGCTAAACAACTAATCCCCCAAACCCTGTCGAACTATCGTATCTAGTAAGGCTGTAAATACTATTGAATTGAATTTATTGCATTTATATGCTGCCCTTTTCCCCCGAAGGGGACTCAGGGCGTCTCACAATCCAAGTCAAGGGAAGGGGGTACAGGTAAGGGATAAAAAAGACGAACAGAACAATACACAATTTAAAAGCACACAACAACCATACCATTTAGTATTCTCACCTGTCTTATTACTTGTCTCCTTATCTTCTCGTGATTATAACATTGTCGCTTGTTTCTTACGATTTATATAATTTTTAAAATTTAGTCACTTAGTATGATTTATGTTGATTGATTATTTAGTATCCTTATGGCTATCGGTAAGTGCTGTGCCTTATGATTTATGATGAATGTGTTTTTTATGATGACTATGATCACGATTTCTCCCTTATAGCTTTTATGCACGCTGAGAGGTTGTGTACCGAAGACAAATTCCTTGTGTATGCAATCACACTTGGCCAATAAAGAATTCTATTCTGCTCTATTTGAAGATTCTAATATTTGAATATTCTATTCTAATATTCTAATATTCTATTCTAATATTCTCTTTTATTCTAATATTCTCTTCTAATATTCTCTTCTCTTCTTTCTGCATTCTATTCTATTCTACTCTACTCTATTCTAATATTCTTTTCTATTCTTTCTACATAACTAGGATAACTAGGATCCAGTTTTTATAACTTTTTAGGGCAATAAAAACAGAGTATTTATAAAATGTGTGGTCCTATAGTTCTAATAATAATTATTCTATTCTATTCTATTTTATTCTATTCTATTCTACTGTATTCTAATATTCTTTTCTATTCTACTGTATTCTATTCTATTCTATTCTGTTTTATTCTAGTCTAATATTCTTTTCTATTCTTTCTGTGTAACTAGGATAACTAGGATCCAGTTTTTATAAATTTTTAGGGCAATAAAAACAGTGTATTTATAAAATGTGTGGTCCTATAGTTCTAATAATAATTATTTTATTCTGTTCTATTTTATTCTATTCTACTTGTAGTCCTCGACTTACAATCATTCATTTAGTGACTGTTCGAAGTTACGATGCCACTAAAAAAAAGTGACTCATTTTTCACACTTAACGACCACTTGCAGTATCCTCACATGATCAAAATTCAGACTCTTGGCTACTGACTCATATTTATGACAGTCGCAGTGTCCCTTTGTCGCGTGATCCCCTTTTGCGACCTCCTGACAAGCAAAATCAATGAGGATGCCGGATTCACTTAATAACCGTCTGGCTAACTTCATAACCGCGGTGATTCACGGAACAACTGTGGCGAGATAGCTAAACTCACTTTAAGCACTCTCTCGCTTAGCGACATAAATTTTGGGCTCGACAGTGGTCGTAATCCGAGGACTACCTGTAATTCACAGAAATGTAACTGGATCATATCTAGAGAGATTCAGGTTCAGATTCACAACTGTGGCTAGAAAGCTCGGTTGTGGTCACAAGTTGAGGACTACCTTAATGGTGGTCATAAGTCAAGGACCACCTGTAGTCCTAACAGATCTGGAGGATGCCAGGCTGAGATAGGCCATGACGCGGAACGCTGGTTCTCACCTTTCTCCATGAATTCGGTGATGATGAAAATGGGCTCTTCCTTGGTCACCACCGCGTGGAGTCTGACCAGCTTGTCATGCTGCAGGGTCTTCATGATGTTGGCTTCTTCAAGGAAGGCCGTCACCGTCATGGTTCCCGGCTTCATGGTCTTCACAGCCACTTTGGTGTGGGCGTTATAGGTGGCTATGGAAGCGGGAAAAGCCATGCTTTAGGACACAGGTAGGGAACAATGGCCCCTTTATGGCTTGTGGACTCCAACTCCCAGAATTCCTCAGGCAGCCATGCTGACTATGGCCCCTTTGTGACTTATGGACTCCAACTCCCAGAATTCCTCCGGCAGCCATGGTAACTATAGCCCTTTATGGCTTGTGGACTCCAACTCCCAGAATTCCTCAGGCAGCCATGGTAACTATAGCCCCTTTGTGGCTTGTGGACTCCAACTCCCAGAATTCCTCAGGCAGCCATGGTAACTATAGCCCCTTTGTGGCTTGTGGACTCCAACTCCCAGAATTCCTCAGGCAGCCATGGTAACTATAGCCCCTTTGTGACTTATGGACTCCAACTCCCA